AAATTTCGGTCAAAGTTTGGAAAATTTTTATTACCTTTTAAGGCAAAAATTATCTAAACTTTGACAAAAAATTTCTCAACAACTATTTAATAGAATTCTATAAAATAAAAGAATTTAATAAATTCTATTAATTATAGAATTAATTTAAATTTTTTTTCATTAAATTCTATCAAGTAGTTGTTGAGAAATTTTCGTTAAAAGTTTGGAAATTTTTCTAAAAAAAAGCTACAGCAGAAGCCTTTTCTGTATTTTGAATGAAAATTCCTCGACATCTGTCTGATAAAATTCATTGAACTTTTTTTAAATAAATTATATAAATGGTAAAATTTATTTAAAAAATTTCTATAGAATTCTTTTAAGTAGTTGTCAGGAAATTTTCATTCAAAGTTAGAAAATTTTTTGCTACAGCTATTTTCTTAGTAGGCAATTAAAAATTTCCCAAACTTTGACCAAAAATTTCTCAATAACTACTTGATACAATTTGATAAAAATTTTTTTAAATAAATTTTAATAACTTGTAAAATTGATTTAAAAAATTTTTTATCAAATTGTATTGAATAATTGTTAAAAAAATTTGTCATAAATTAAGAAAAAATTCTACTTTGATAGTTTATGTATATACGTAAGTATCACATGATGTTTGGTATGTGCAAAATCATGTGATCTGTATATGTCCATAGACTTTCTGGTAGCAAACTACCTCAGGATCACTAACAAAATTACAAAATAATTTTACTATTATATGATAATTAATGAAAATAAGCCAATAATGAAGTTTGATTTGGTATAATTTTATATGAACAGAAATATTCAAAACAAATGTTCATTTTGTCAAAAATCGCTTATAACTCAAAATCTGCATAGGAAACCACCTTTTGCACATTAACAAAAAGTTTTTTTTAAACAATTTTACTATTAAAAACCACAATTATAATACTAAATAGGCCCTAAACCTAGCATAAATGAACTTAAAGAATTTTGTCGTATATCATATGACAGTAAAAATTTTGTTGGTGCATTTGAGGAAGATTCTATAACATTGACAAAAATTTTATTGACAGAGCTTAGAGCAGAGCAGATTATATGATACTATAAAACCTGCTCTGTCTCTGCTCTGTTCTTAACTGCTAATTAACTAATCATATGATTCTGCTCTGTTTCTAAGCTCTGTCTATAGACTTTTCGTAGCATTGAAAGTGGAGCAGAATCACATAATATCTGACCAATAAAATTATAAAATTTTGATGATCACTGGCGAAGCAAATCAAGAAATAAAAATGAAAAATCTAAAAAATACAACAATTGGTGGTCTAAACCTACTTTGGGTAGATTAATTAAGATAACAAAAAAGCAATTTTGCTTATATAAAACTTAACCTAACCCAATATAAGATGACCATTAATTCAAAAAGATATATACCCATAGGTCGATAGCACATAGTTAGTACTCTCAAGTTACAATTGCAAAGTTACGAATAGAGTTGCAGATATTAGAATACCAATTAATATAGACTATGACATTTATGTGATATATTAATATGATATATTATATGAGCAAAAATACTGTTTTTAATGGATCATTGGTACTGTTCCTGATAGGATAGAGAAAAAAATCAATTTACATACCATTTCTGATAGAGTTCTAAAAAAAGGGTCTCTAAAATACTATACTACTATAATGAAAAAAGTTAGGATTAGGGTTCGTTTTTAGGATCTTATTAGGAACAGTACTCAAATAATTTTTTTTTTGACTCTATCAAGATCAGTATTGCTGATCTATCAGAAATAGTATTTTTGCATTATATGATTATATATAAATTTTATATGACATGAAGTGTAATGTGAAAAAGTAGACCTTTAAGAAAAAGCTATTTTGGCTTATATCTTTGCAACTACTGGTCCAATCAAGATAAAACTACTACTATTCAAATCAGCTTATTGAAACAAATCTAAAGATGCATATCTATTACATATCATAATTATAGCATCTATATTATTTATTTTACATATCATATATTTATTATTTGTCTTATATGTAGTATTTGTATTATATATATTATATATCTTATTAGTACTATTTGTAATATTTGTAGTATAAATACTAGATATAGACCATTATATTTTTGAAAAATTGTAAAGTATAAAAGCAGTCAATATGAACCTTGAGTTCGACATTGTGTCTCAATATACTTTTAATAATAAAGCACACTTTGGATACAAAATTCTAAACAGTTATTAGTATCTTTATATACTTTTAATTGTTGCCTCTTTCGTAATTGCAAATTGCCTTAAATCTTCTTTGTTCAGTTTTGTAAAAACGTCATACTGACTTAGTTAAAATACAGTAACTCAGGAGATTACACAAAGTATTCACTGGTAATAATTAATCTAGTTGCTTACTATCTTTAAAAAAGTAAATATAGAATAACAAATTGGTGGTAACTGTAAGATACAGCACTTTATTTGTGACATTTTATAAAGGAAAACCTAAATTTACAATAAATTTAGAAAATGTTTGGTACTAAGTGAAGTCCATCAATATTGTTTTGTTTGAGCTAAAATTTTAAATATATATTCTTGGAGACCTTGCACAACTTTTCTACTAAGCATATTTTAGTAAGAAAATGCCACTCTGAACCACAAGTAATACTAAATGTCTATACAAAATTTTTATTATTATATGCAATTTAATTTTTAAGGTTATAGTATAAAGATATTCATACACCAACAAGAACATCTAGCTAAAGCTTTTTTGAGTCAACCTGATGATTCTTGTAATATTTGCAATCCAGTAACAACCTTTATATCAAAAGACTTCTTTTATTAGTATTCACAACAATTCCCTATTTATGATTTTTCACAGAAATTATTAGAATAGTTTTATAGTATAAAAAATATTTACACACAATTTAACTTACCTCAACTTAAGAACACTATTTTTAAACTTATTCATAGTTTTTGTTATATTAGTTCACTAGGAAACATCCTTGATATAATTTGATCTGTTGCTTCCTTAGCTGTTTATACTAACTGTTATCAAAGAAACTCTTTTACTTTAACAGATACAAACTTTTGTCCTTCTTACCATACTGATTTTGAGGATTATAGTAACTTATTTGACAGCCTCTTCTGTAAACAACAACCTAATATTATAATGACAACTGTAAATAATATTCTTAATTATTTGAGAGACAATAAGAAAGAAAGTATGTTTCTAAAAGTTGAACTCTTTAAAGGAGATAGTACTCAAGACCCTCTTATCTGGTTAGATAATTTTAACAAGGCTATTCAAGCAAACAAGTAAAATTTGGCTAGAAAGAAAGATATTTTTGCCACCTTCTTAAGAGATAATGCTAAAGATTGGACTACTATAGTTCCTAACTATATTAACAGAAGAACTACTTAGAACACAATTAAAACTGCCTTCAAAACTACTTTTGTATTTAACGCTAGCAAAACAAATATCTTAGAGAAACTTTGATATGCTAAGACAAGGACCTAATGAACCTGTAGTTACTTATTATAGCAGATTTTAATGATTACTCAAAAGAGTAGATACTGGAATAGCTCCACTTCAAGATACCCAAAAGTTATATTACTTTAAGAAAGAATTAAGACCAGAAGTTCTTTTTATTCTACTTATTCATAACCCTGATGATTTAGATACACTCTTTGAATGTGTTAAAATCTACAAACAAGAAATAGACTTTGCCACTAATGCTGACCCTAGTTCTATTAAAGAAACTTCTTCTAATGAATACAAAAAAGAAATTAGGCAATTAATTAAGCAAATGAGCCAAATATCTCTTAATTATGCTTCAATTGTTTTGCTTTGACTGCTCAAGCTAAACTATCCTACACACCCAAGCCAAAACAAATAAATTATTTTTCTAATGTATCTAGACCTAGATTTAATAATAACAATAATTTTAAACCCCATATTACCATTTCAGATGTGGTAAAAAAGGTACTATACTAGAGATTATATGTCTGAATATCTTTCTACAAAGAACAAAGATATCAAATGAATAGCCAACTCTCAACTAGAAGAAAGATTAACTATGCAGCTATAGAGAAAGACTACTCAACTGAAGAAGAAGAGGTTTATATTACAAAAGCACCCAGACTTCAACTATATAGAACAAACAGAAAAGTTCAAAAAGAAGCTCACAAACAATCTGAATCTTAAAGCGAAATGAAGTTAAGAATTAGAACTATCTATACTAAACCTAATGATGAACCTGAAGAAATGAAAGCTAAACCTATTGAACTTTCCAAGCCAACACCAAAAATAACAAAGCAAAGAGAAGCCTAACAAAGAAATTGCTTTCTATAATTAACCAACTTGAACCCTATAATATTGCAAAAGATTTGCTAAATTGATCTGCTCAAGCTATTTATAGACAACTATTACAATACCCTAACTAATATAAAATTTTGTCCAAATAATAAAAAGAAAAACTGTTATAACTACCAAAGCTAACCACTTGGAATTGGGTCTAACAAAGAAAACTGTTGCTATAAAATATTATGTTAATATTAAAAAACAACCAGTAGTTGCTATCTTTGACTTTGGTGCTACTGTTAATATTATTATCAAGAAGCTAATACAAAGACTAAGATTACATATCACTAAAGAATCTAAAACTATTGTAGTAACTGCCAATGGAGCTAGAGAAAAAGCTTTAGGCTCAATTAGTAATATGAATATTGTATTCCAAAATATTTTAATCCCTATTAACTTGCAAATAATCAAGTCCAAAGATGAAACTCTCTTGTTAGGAACAAATTGGTTTACAAAATCCAAAGCTACTTTAGACTTTAATAACCAAATCTTAAAGATTAAATACTTAGAAAAAAGAGCTACTATCTATACCACTTATATTAGTAGAGAGCCAATACCTAATGAATTTGAAGAATTCACAGATAAAGATAAATAGATTGATGAAATTGAAGAACAAGATAAAGCTAAAACTTACTATACTGAAGAAGGAAACCAAGATGATGATTCTTTATTCTACAACTCTTGGACTGATATTGTTTTTGACAAAAACCCTGCAGTATATATTGCTTTAACTGTTGAAGTTTCTACAACTTTTCTTTTAACTATTAATATTTTTTTGAATGGACAACAAAGAGAAGAAGCTAAAGAAATTCTTCTAAACAACTACCAAATCTTTGCTAAAAATATTTCTGAAAAAGAACAAACCTTAGAACTCAGACAAACTAAAGAAGTTTGCTGTGAAATTAATACTCCTGGTGCTAAACCAATTAAACAATAAGCCTACAGAGCATTACCAGATAATTTAGAATTCTTGAAAAAAGAAATTAAAGAAATAGAAAAACATAAAATTATTTAAGAAACAAACAGCCCATAGTCTTTACCAGTAGTTATTGTACCCAAAAAGAATAGAAAATACTAAATCTGTATTGACTATCAAAAGTTAAATACAGTAACTACAAAGGATATATATCCTCTTCCTGATATTAAAGAAATTCTATCTGTTTTTGAAGGAGCTCAATGGTTTACAAGCTTGGATCTGACTAGTAGATATTGGCAAGTTGCTATACAAGAAAAAGATACAAAGAAAACAGTATTTATTACTCAGCATAGAACTTATGGGTTTAATGTTATACCTTTTGGTTTGTGCAATACACCAGCTACTTTTTAATGTCTAATAGATAAAATTTTACAACTATTTATTAACAAGTTTTTAGTTATATATTTAGATGATATTACTATTTACTCAAAAATATTTAAAGAACATTTTTCTCACTTACAACTAGTTTTTAATAAGCTTGCAGAAGCTAACCTCAAACTAAATATTGAAAAATGTTCTTTCTTTTTAAATGAACTTAAATTTTTAGGACATATTATAGAAAAAGATAGAGTAAAACCTGATAAAAAAAAGATTGAAAAGTTGAAAACTTATTAACACTGACTACTGTTCATCAAATCAGAGAATTTCTTGGACTAGTCTCATACTACAGAAAATTTATAAAAGAATTTTTTTAAAATTACCAAATCTTTGAATAGCTTTCTACAAAAAGACCAATCATACTATTGGGGAAAAAAGCAAGAAGAAGCTTTTCAAATCTTAAAGAAATGCCATATTACTATACCGATCTTACAATATTCTAACTTTTATAAACTATTCTATATTCATATTGATGCTTCACAAACCAGTCTTGGAGCCATATTAACACAACTTAATGAAAATAAATGTAAGCATGTAATTGTATATACTAGTATAAGCTTCTCAAGAGCAGAACAAAACTACTCTGCTACAGAATTAAAATCCCTTGCTGTTGTATAGGCAGTTGAACATTTCTACCAGTATATAGAAGGAAACTACTTCTATTTAATAACTGACCATGCTGCCTTGAAATAGCTAAGAACTACCAAACTTATAAGAAAAAAAGCAAAATAGATTATGCGACTAGAACCCTACAATTTTACTATAATTCACAGAGCAGGAAGAAAGTATAATAATGCTGATTCTTTATCCAGAATGTATGAAAAGACCACTTTTTAGATAAAGAAGCAGAAGTGAATCTAGTTGATCTATCAACTAAGCAAGAAGCCTTAGAAGCTATATTAACAGGAAGTCCTATTATTCTTGATGATAAAGTTGAAATCTTTTATCTAGAATATAAAGAAAACTTCAGTATTAAAGAAAGTTTTTATGATACTTATGAAACTTTCTCTCAAGAAGCTAACTCCTACTTAGAAAACCTATGGAGTGATATTATGTTTAACTCTGAAATAGTAAATATCACTAGTGAGTCTGAACTTCAGAAAGGAGCCCAAACAGAAAAAGATCTAGAAATCGTAAGAAAAACCTTGAAAGGTAACCTCTCTTCTAATATAACAAGTAGACTTTCATTATATAATGATGTAATATTCTCTCATAAAGGTATCGTATCAAATATGATAGACAATTTTGTACCTGGTATTATATCGAATATATAAGCAGATGAGTTAATGCCAAAAACAAAAAAGGTCTTGCTAAAAATTAAAAAGGTTTATGTGCTCAATGTTGGTGTGAACTTAAACTCTACAGTCTAGAAGATGAGTGTATCTAATACTATCTTGAATTAAATTGTAAAATATAATTAAACAATATCCTATTGAAGTTATTGGTTTAAGTTATTGAAGTATACTTAATAATAAATGATATGACCAACCTGTTTAATTCCAAGAAACTTGTGATAATATCTATCAAGAAATACAAGAAAAACCTCAATTTGATCAATTTTCTGAACCTTATATCCAAGTGAATAATTATATTACTCAAAACAACTATTATATTTTAAATAATATTTTTTGGTAACTTCCCTATTAAAAACTTCTACTCAATGACAACTACAAGAACACAACAACTTTTTATCTACTTATCTTTGTAATTCTGTATGGTGAACAGCACCTGAATCTAATATCTAATATTAAAAATATATTACACTAGTAGAAATCTGACAATAATATTAATCCAGTCTAGGTTGTTGGTATTCTAGCGAAACAAAAAAAAAGAACCCGAATACTATCAAAATATTAAAATACTTTTCTTATTTTACAAAAATACAAAAAAACAATTAAAAAGAAAAATTAATATTATTTTATTAAAAATAATCAACTTTACAAAAGATTTTTAGAAAAAAGCATCGCTACTATATTGTTAAAAGTAGTACAAAAGCATAAAATTGAAGCTATCCTATACCTCATACACATCCATCCTATAGAAGCACATCTTGGAACTAATAAAATATTCGACAAGATCAAAAGACAATACTATTGGTCTCAAATATACGAACATATTCAAGATTATGTGAAATCCTGTGATTGTTGCTAGAAAAGAAGAAAATATCAACAAAAAGGACCTCTTTACCCAATTAAAATAGAAACATGCTTCAACAAAATTAGAATTGATTTTGTAAAACTACTTCTTCTTACTTTGCAAGGCAATAAATTTATAATCATTACTATAGATTATATGACCAAATACTATGAAGCAAAAGCTGTATCTGAAGCAACTGCATAACAAACTGCTAACTTCTTATATGAAAATATTATTTGTAAACATGAATGTCTTAACTTTTTACTCTCAGATCAAGGAAAACACTTTGACAATATATTAATTAAAGCATTAGCACAAAAATTCTAAATCAAGCATCTATTTACAACTCTTTATCATCCACAAACTAATAGATTAGTAAAATGATTTGATAAAACCTTATATAAATCTTTGGCTAAACTATCTGATAAAGATAAAGAATAGGATAAATTAATATCTTCTGTCCTGTTTTTCTATAGAAGCTTTAAACATGCAACAATGAAATTTACACACTTCTTTTTTATATATAGAAAAGAACCAAATATACCTATTTCTGAATCTCAAAAAATATTAAAAAAACTCTTTTAATAATATCGTATACTCTTGTAGAAGATTTGCTCTCTAAAAGAGAGAAAGCCAAGAATAATATCAATAAATCACAACAATGACAAAAGTTCTACTGAGATAAAAAATAAAAAAAGTAAGAAAATTGTTCAAAAAAGAAGAACAAATATTGTGCTATAATGCTGCTAGAGATAAGAGTTTTACAAGAAAATTCTTACCAAAATGAAAAGAACCTTACTTTATCTATCAAAGAATAGCACCAGATATATATGTTGTGCCTCAGATTAATTCTTGCCTCATATATTTATCAGCCTAAATTAGAGTTAGAATTTGGATAAGGATTAGGTTATAGTTTAGGCCAATTTATATCGATCAGTTAATGCTGACCAAATGATCAATATCTGAGGTGCCTTAGTTATCACTTGAGACAAAAATTGATCTGTGGCACAACATATACAAACTTCATATTATAAAGAGACAAATATTAAAAACACTAATTAATATGTATCTTTTAAAAAAATACTATACATGACAATCATGGAACTTCATAATTAATATCTAAAAAAAAATTTTTCTATTTTATTATTAATTTTATTATTACAAATATTGGACTTTTATTAACTTTTAATAGCAAAAGATATAAAATTTATTTAAAACAAAAAATATAGAAAAAAAAAAATATACAAAAAAAAAACAAAAAAAAAACAAAAAAAATATTTACAAAAAAAAAATTATTATCCCTTAAACTGTAGGCTTTTCCAGGCAAATTTGCCTAGAAAATTATCATAAATATGGTTATGATCTACTTTTTTTAAATTTTAATATATTT